ATTTTCTTGCAAAACAAATCTGCCTTCCAATACAGCAATGCGAGCTGCTGGTGTGATGCAGCCATTGATAATCTGTGAGCAAATTGTGCAGAGAGTAGCTGAAGAACTTAAGATGGACCCAAATGAGGTAATTAAAAAAAATAAGTTTTGAATGTGGATCATATCAGAATTTGAAGCAATATTTAGCCATGATAACCCTGAGCATACGGGTAATGTTTATTTAAAATACAGTAAGATTAATTTATACTGAGACCAGAAGATTATGGATGATGAGCAATATGGTCATCCATTACCTGTGGACTGGTGCCAGTCCGCAAGAAATTTTCATCAGCATACTAAATTTATCAAAGGTACAGTATCTTCAAGAAGAAGTTATAGATAAAGTTTGCTGTCTTAATTATTTGAAATATCAAGAAGACAATTGCCAATTGATTTCATCTTATGAAAATCAAAAGATGGCTTTTCTCCTAATGACAAGTTAACACTGGCTGAAATGAATTATTTCAAGTGTTCCCTCTGAGAAACTTTTCTTGAAGTCCAGCTTTCTACGTTTTGAAGATATTTTACTACAGCTGCTTCATTGGTTCTTAACTCAATTTTTGCAATACATTTTTTGTTCAAGGACTTCCATGGAGGGTATACGAAATTTTTTCCGCTGGTCTAAAAAATTAAATGGAACTTTGCTTGTCCACAAACAATTTTATGGAAATTTGCTGGTATGTAGGCAAAAAGTTTGGGGAACACTGCTCTATAGACAAAAAATGATTTGATAAATGTTGGGCATGCACGCCGTTGTTGGAACTGTGTGAAGGTCTATAAAATAATTATTAATATAAGTTACTCCCAAGAAGTTCAGTAGAATTGAAGGTGTGTTAAGCTTTTACTCAAAGTTGTACACAAGCCCAAGCCCGTAAAAGTGGTATTTACTCTTGTGTGACATATATATTATTCCTCTTTCAATTCATAAGAATTCCCAGACTGAATCTTTTATTTTATTTATAAACAACGCAACACCAGCTTATATTGTGGCCAGTTGTGCCCAATAATAAACAAGCTGGCTACTGGAATTGGTTTAGCTTGTTGCTCAAGGCCCAACTGTATTTCTAAACCTTATAATCTATATCATAAATCTGCACTACAGGTTTTGTTTTTTTAATTGATCTTACAGCTGAGAAAGGCAAACCTCTTGAGGACTGGCACCAAAACTCATTATGGCAAAGTTCTGGAAGACTGTACTTTGGAGCAATGCTGGGATGAGTGTCTTCTGCAGTCCAAGTTTTCCTCTCGGAAGGCAGAAGTTAACTCTTTCAACAAGTAAAATCTTACATTGTTCAAACTAATCTCTATAGAAAACTCTAATTTTTAAAGCGTCATTTCATTTCAGGCTTCATGATTGGAAGAAAAGAGGCATTTCTATGGTTCCAGTCATGTTTGGACTAGCTTTTCCTGGCTCAAATTTGAACCAGGCAGGGGCACTTGTCATGATATACAAAGATGGTTCAGTCCTGATTTCCCATGCTGGTGTTGAAATTGGCCAAGGCATTCATGTCAAACTTGCGCAGGTATTTCACAATAGAATGCAAATTTCACTTTTTCCTGAAGAATTTTGAAAATGCATCAAAACTTGCAAAATGATTGCCCCAGGAATGAGCTCATGTAATATATGTTTCTGCTGGTAGCTTTGAGAAATTTCTTTCACTGGAAACTTCCTCACAATACAATTCAAACTTTTTAAAATTGGATTGTCTTAGATTGCCAGCAGAGTTCTTGACATTCCCTTGGAGTCCATCCACACAGCTGACACTGCAACAGACAAAATCCCAAATGCAACATCAACTGCTGCATCTTTCACCACTGACCTTAATGGACCTGCTATAAAAGTGAGTGGACAGAAATTTCTTACAAAATCAAGTTTCATTCATTTAGGAGCAAAACAATCATTGTTCTTTGTGTGCCTCTATATAAGGCCAAATTTTCCTCAGCATTTTTCATTGCCATTCAAGTACATGTATTACGTGTTCTGGCAAAAATGTATACCCAGTAAGGTTTTTCCTTCTCTCCAAAGATTTACTTTGATGGAAAAGTAGTTGTCAAACAAACTCATCAAGAGGAAGTACTAATCTCTTTTCCCCCTTCTTAATCTTTACACATTTCTATACATTTGCATGAATTTGTTTATATGCTTGTTTTATATGCTTGGATTTGTATTTGCATTTTCATTTGGTTTTTTCACTTGTGCAGTGTTTTCAGTGTGCTTTTTATATTATTGTGATATTTCTTTGCCATCAAAGTACACAATAAATCATTCTGAAAAAACTACAAATATTTATTTGTGGTATCCCCTTGAATATGCAGTATTATGTTCTTGGCTGCAAATTGGCTGATTTCCTGTAATTTAATTGTTCCACTACATCTTCATCACTCATTCTTTTGTGGGTTACCATGATTTCCCAACACTAAAGTGTACCTTCAATCCAAACTGTAACGTTTAAATCCATGTGCTTCTTTCCACACAGTTTCTGAAACTATCTCTCAGCTAATCATTGTTTAAACAGATAAACAATTGGAACAAAAATTCACACCCAGAATCCCAAAGCCAATTACAAAATACTGTAACATAAGCAATTTGAAGAAGTTCATCAAGGGATAAGTGTGGATTTCTCAACCAGCTCCTTTGTCCCTCCTGATGTAGATTTTTTTGTAAAAAAAAACCAAGGAATCTTCAGCATAGTTCTCATAGCTGAATTTTTTTTAAATACTTCTTGTTAAAGAAAGCTTGTGAGAAGCTGGTGGAGAGACTGAGGCCATACAAACATGCAAACCCACAAGGAGGCTTCAAAGACTGGGTGCAAGCTGCCTACATGGACAGAGTCAGTCTTTCTGCAACAGGCTTTCACAAGTAAAAACCTTCACAAATTTTTGAAAAGACAGTGTCATATTCTCAAGCATTTTTTTCACTTTTATATCAAGAACACCAGGGTTGTCATTTGACTGGATTACAAAGACTGGGAACCCTACAAGTTACTACACCTATGGTGTTGGCTGATCAGAAGTTGAGGTGGACACTTTGACTGGGGAACATCAGGTTGAATGTTTCATCTGCTGTATTGCATTTTTATGATCAGACCAGAAAAAAAGCCATGATAAATGGTGGTGGTTTGCAATTTGGTTTTGATTTGTCACCAAATGATTGCCTAATTGCTTGATTACTTTATTTGGGAGGCTGTTTGGGTTGTTTGCCTTTGAAGATTTGACAAGATGATTTTGTAACTGATGAACTGGTGGCTAAAATTTCAAATGGCATCACCATACAATACTGTATTTAATTCGATTATAAAATGTGTAGAAATTTGAATTGTTCATGGCAGATTCTCAGGACAGACATTGTCATGGACATTGGAGAGTCCTTGAACCCAGCAGTGGACATTGGACAAATTGAGGGCGCATTTGTGCAAGGCTACGGAATGTGGATGATGGAGGATTTAGAGTTTAGTCCTTCTGGAGAATTGCGCACAGCTGGTCCATCAAACTACAAAATCCCCACTTCAAGGGATGTGCCACAGGAATTCAACGTGTCCCTTCTGAAGGGGTCAGCCAACAAGCATGCAATTTATTCTTCCAAAGTGAGCATCATCCTCTGTGATCATCTATTTTGAAACCAGTTTTCTCACAGGCTACAAAAACCTTTGAAAAATATGCCCCAGACAAAGTGATTTCCATTGAAGAGCATACAATATTATTCCATGGTATAGTACTACTGTATAGTGCTACACTCCATGAACAGTCCATGCAAAAATTAGGCTGACCTGCCAGACCCAAAATAGTCAATACAATACAGTTTGTCTAAACTATTGATGCACAAAATCTATTGCTTCCCTTGGGAAATTTCACTTTTTTAACAGTGAAAATATTTTTGTCATATTTATTTGAATACAATGCATCCTTAAGTAAGACACCATCCTGATATTTTATGATAGACCTTGTGAAAAAAATAGATTTCTTATATAATAGGGTGTCCCAGTTCACTGTATCAGAATTGAATTATAAAGAATTGTCTGCAAAAAATAGTGTTTGATGAAAGCGTATTACAAAATATTTAATTTGTGAAAGTTTCATGTTTGACTCCAATCAAATTCAGCTTTCATTTCAGCCCAGAATCATATTATGACCTATTCAGGATTTATTTTAGTAAGCTGTAAATTTTTTGTCAATGATAGCATGCACTGGATTCTTAGTTTTTTACCCACACATTGTACCACATAACCCCAATTGTTATCATTTTTTAGCAAAAGGCAGGCGTTCAACTTGGCTATTTATGACATGGAAGATCACGACTAAGATAAGATCATGTGCAACCTATGTAACTGTAAAAATAATTTATGAAGCATAATAATTTTATTTGAAGCCAACATGCCGTTTCTTAGCCTGACTACAGAAATTCAATGTATGGGCGGAATTTTTAAATTACAAATATCGCCTGAGACTCAGATGCTTGTCCTTATTGAAACTGTAACCCACGGGTTTAATAGCAGAGAAAATGCGAAGAAAAATATTTCTTCAAGCTGTCATTGCTTTCAAGTGTACCACGAGAAAATTCTGACCCTCAAAGGATGTCACAAGTCACAACAATAATGAAAATTGTTGATGCATCGAGGAAGATTTTATTTGTTTTTAATTTTCTGCATGCTTTTTCTCAGGGAGTTGGAGAGCCTCCGATGTTCTTGTCAGCATCAGTCCTTTTCGCAGCAAGGGAAGCCATAAACAGCAGACGAAAGCAAAATGGCATTGATGAATACCTCAGATTAGACACACCGGCCACAGGGGATAAACTCAGACTCGCTTGCGGTGACTGGCTCATAAGAGTAAGGCGCTTCATTTTTTAAATATTTTACTGTACTCAACGAATTAGGAGGAAATCGAAATTTGTTATTAGGTCCATGATTTCAAGTGAACAATTTTCGAATCCAGTGCACACATGAAAAGCATTGTGTGTGGAATTCAAGCGAGGCGTGTTTTTGTTCATTTCTGGGGATTTTTTTCACCAGAGACCTGGAATTTTTATTTTCTCATCAAATGACATTTATTTAAAGCAACTTTTAGTATGACACAAAAACAGGTAGACCTCAGTTCCGAACAGTGATGAGTTGTACAAGACATTTTCTTTTTTGTTTTGCTCTTGTCTCCATTTCAACTTGATTGAGTGAAATTCAGACATTTCCTAAAGGAAAAATTGCAGCTCTACCTTTTTAAAAATGATGTCAAGTGTCAATAATCTAGCAGATGAGCTCCAGTGACAGAAGCACGAAGACGCTCAAAAATCATGAATGATACTTGTATATCCATCCTTAATTTTGTTTCATCAAATTTCCAGGAGGCCAAGAAAACCGGAAAAGTTTCTTGGAGGATCAACATTTAGTCTCCTCATCAACTTCCGCGTGAGCTTGGAATTTCAAGAACGACTTCCGGTTGCTGGAAACATCTGCGAATCATCAGGGAATATATACAAATTCTGGGGATTTATTCAAGGTTTTCTTTCTTTCATCCGAATGAATTTTATCGTTAATTCATCTCCATAAACCGTCGTCTGAAACATTGAGCCATACGAGTACATTTCCGACATACATGGCGAAATACAACGACCGAATTTTTCTACGGGATTGTCGATTTTTTTTTGTATTTGACTCATCCAATAGCAAAAGCGAAGGAATAAACTAAAGAATAAACATGGAATGAATTTCTTGGATTGTTAGCAAAATTCTCTCGGAGTCTGTAAACGAAGCAGACGCTGCAGAATACCCAATTTCAAAGGCAACCTGTGAGGGTTGTCCCAGCTGAACAAAGCCTCTAATATTTCTGAAGTAGGTGTGTTTGTAAAAAATCATAACTTGACATAGCTCATGATGTTCTAAGGTTCTGGGATTTTTTTTTAGGAATTTTAAAAACGTTTTTAAATTATCTGCATGATCATGAGGAAAAACTTTCCAGTTACAGCCAGAGTTCTCCTCCCGTGGTAACAGTGTGCTAAAAAGTTTTCAAACTAGATAAAAACTTGAGAATTTATGTTGTTTTACTCATCATCTCCTCTAAATTCTAGAGCCTACTTAGAACAATGATGAAGAAAAATAAAAGGATGAAGCTAACCTGACAAAAGTTTATCAGCCTGTGACATGGATGCAGAATTCTGGCTGTAAAATGAAAGCTTTCATTTATCATCATGCAGTGAATTGAAAAACGTTTTTAAAAATCCGAAAAAAATCCCAGAACCTTAGAACATCATGGGTTAAATAATCATTTTTTTGATCACACCAAATCTTAAAATATCAGTGACCGTGTTCAGATAATGAGACAATCATCATGCAACTGCTTCGTCTTTGAACACAGAGGCCATGACTGACCTGAAGTTTAAAAAAAATAGTTGAATGCACACCGATTTCTTCGAAAATTCAAATTTCATTCAAGGACGACCAAAATGACAATCATCACTGATCTTCTCTCGCTTCGAACGCCAAATTATCCTCAGCACTTTTCGTCTTCACATAAGTACCCTCGGTTCCTTCAACAGAAACCGAGAGGTTTGAATCCGCGTGCTTCTTTCCTCTCCTCACTTTTCGAAAAAGTTTCTGAACTAAAAAATTGATTAAAAACACAAACAAATGCGACGAGAGACTGGCCACTAGAATGGCAAAGCAATGCCCGAAAAGCAGGGGTAGGTTGGAGAAGTCCATGAAGGGGTAAATTTGGGTGTCGCCCAGGTTGTTGGTCCCTCCGGCCGACTGGTACACATAACAGAATACGAGGTAGGTGACTAGCTCCAGGGCAGGGATGTAGATGTGTTGCCACCGGAATGGCCTTGCTGCCACAAGAATGCTGCCTATTGTGTACACCGAGTTTATGAGATGAAGGTGAATGTCTTCCAACAATGGTTGAGTGACTTTCAAGTTCCCTGTTGGACAAATATTTTCAGGAGAAAAATGGCCTTGACAGCTTGGAAAACTAGATTAAAAGTAATTTTTTCCAGAGACAGCATTTTTAACCCTTTGGGCAGCACTGCCAGAATTTTTTGCCACAATTAAAATAAATGTGGCAAAAATTAAACGATCAAACAAATCTTAAAAAATCAAGATAAATTTTTTGCCTTACATGATTTATCATCAAAGATTCTCTCTAAATTGTTCATTCAACTAAAACTCATACAGAAGCAGGCTGAAGACCTTGTGCTTTAAATAAACTTTTACTGCTACTTTGTCTTCAATATCTGAACACGGTCACTGATATTTTAAGATTTGGTGTGATCAAAAAAATGATTATTTAACCCATGATGTTCTAAGGTTCTGGGATTTTTTTCGGATTTTTAAAAACGTTTTTCAATTCACTGCATGNTAGTATTCAACTTTTTAAAATCAAATTATAAGTTCAACATTTCATTGTGCAGCTTGCCTGCTTTAAAATTGTTCTTCCTGTACCAGAAAACAAGAAGCCCTTGAAGATGGGCATCAGCACACAACAACATGAATCCCCAAGTGGTCAAATATATCATGGCCTTTGGTCCAAGCAGAATTATTGTCCAAGCCAACCAAAAAGTCATGTAGATTCCAACAAATATTCTGACAAGCCCATACACTGCAACATTGATACTGAAGTCTGCATTTCTATTCCACTTGAAAATATAAAAAAATAAAAAACACAATTAATTTTTGGATCTTTCAGAAAGTTTTTCAGAGAAACCCCCAAACTTTCCACATACCTTTGCTCTGATGAAATCAAGTGGACAAGGATGGTCAAACTTCATGAGATGCAAAGATTTTTTGCACTTCTCCAAAAAATGTTCTTCTGCCATTTCTTCTTCCCCACGCTCAAATCACGTCAGAAACTTGAGTTATCATTGTTTGGGAGTATTTTATGTCTGTAAATATGCCCATAATGGTAAAAAGTAAAATTCAGTGCGTCGCTCTTAATTCGGATTGAAGCACATTTTCGTCAACAAACGCTAACCAATTTAATCGCACCAAAAAAACAGCAATAAAATCACCTCAAGAACTACACTGACACAATTTTCAGACACATGCACGGAAATTTTTGATTCGAAAAATTTTTTTTCACTCTCTGCTTATCACGAACGAGGAGTCGAACGTTTCTGATCGACAGAAAATCACTCGGTATTTTCTTCTTTCGCGACGATTTTTTTTCCTTATACGGAATCGGAGAGGAAAAGGAAAATGCAACTAATACATATATATAAAACGAACACAAGCAGGATTTTCAAACGGGACGAATGAAAAACGGCGATTTCCCCGCAAATTTGTTCACTTATTCACCGGATGATACGAGCTATCAAAGGAAAACTCGTTCCCACACGACAGAGAAAAAAAGGAACTGCGACAGTCACCATTTATGAGCAGAACACAGGTACACATGAGACTTTATCCTCCCACAGCAGCAAGCAAGCAATTGACTTCATTTTTGCTTCATTGTCGACAGTTGTATTTCATTTGTTTTTTTAATACGTTTTTTTTTAATAAGTCGAGAATCAGGTGAATCGCAATAAACCCGTGTCGATAAGGACGAACGCGACGAGGATACTTGGCGTTTTCTAACGCTGTCATGCGTTTCGAAAAAATAATAATAAATCATGGAACTCGGAGTGAATAGGGTTGTGTATGTGGGATCAAGTGACTGACTGGTTTGTTTATGTTTGCCTTTGGAAAATAAATTGCTGGAACCATTCAAGAGTCATCTTTGGGCCTTCTGGAAGAATTACATTCAAAGTGGAATTGGAGTTGTTGAAAAAATTACATAGCTTTGTTTTGTTATTTTGAATGAATGAATGAACAGAACACTTTATTTGCCACTTTTCAGCATTCACAAGGTTCAATCAAGATTTCCACAACCAAACCCCCCTTCCCACCCAACCCAAATCCACTCAATAATGACATTTTAATCACTTCAGAGCAGGAAAGCACAAATTGATAACAAAAATAAAAGAAAATACAATAAAACATGAAATACAACTGGACATCTGACATGTACACATACACCCATTCATTCCCTGACATTGGTAACAAAATATATGTACAAATTAATTTAAAGCTCAAGGTCTTCAGCTTGTTTCTGTATGAGGTTTAGTTGAATGAACAAATTTGTTTTGTTATTTGTTTTTTGCTAGAGCCATATGGGACATTTTATAATTAGATGACTCGTTTTGTTGGGAAAAGCAGAAATATTTCACAAAGTAATCCCGCGATTTACTTCGGGGCATTTCAAAATCATCATTTGTGAAACGCTATCATTGATCAGAAAGTTCCTCAGCGGAGTTTGAAAATTTAATTTCGAAGCGGTGATAGAAAAAATTCTTGCTTTTTCCTGCGATTATTCTCCCGTCAAAGCCAGAAAAAATTGAGGTTCCACGATTTTCTGTAAAGTAAAGTAGATGTCGCCTGAAACTATTTTTTTAGATCCAATATGGAATCAAGGGATGTTCAGATAAAACAAACACAAGCAGAATTTTCAAACGGGACAAATGAATAACGGCGATTTCCCTACACATTTTTTCCTGATGGTCCCTAGAAATTTGACTTACAGAGATTCAACCATATACAAGCTCATTTGAAATCCACCTTTCCCACATGCATATCAAAACATAACAACCAAGTTTTTCTACCAGATTCTTTTTTTTTTTTCAAATGTGCCATTTCAAATGGCAAAAGCAAAAACAACACAAAATGATTGTGGAAAGCGTAGTGACATCTCACCAGCATGAAACCTCTTTAAATGAATTTCTTAGATTGACTTGCTGTGTCTTCCAACACTGACGCCACAATAATGGACCTTTTTTGAAAGTGATTGCACACCAAAGTCCCTTCCAAAATTAAATTTCATTTATTGACAAAGCAAAACAATCACTGTTCTTCTTGTGCCTCGAAATCGCCCTCAGCGTTTTTCATCTCCACATCATCAGTCTTCTTCTCGGCGCTTTCATCAACCGGAATAACTGTGAGCTCTGAATCCATCATGCGGTTCTTCCCACACAGTTTTCGAAACAGTTTCTCAGCTAAACAATTGATTGCACAAAGAAACAAATGCAACATGAGGCTGGCTCCTAGGATGGCAAAGCAATGCCCGAAAAGCATGGGTAACTTGGAAAAGTCCATGAAGGAGTAAATGTTGGGGCTGCCCAGATTGTTGGTCCCTCCGGCCAAGTGGTACACAAAGGCAAATATGAGGTAGGTGATTAGCTCCAGGGCAGGGATGTAAATGTGTTGCCATCTGAATGGCCTTGCTGCCACAAAAATGCTCACAACTGTGTAAACTGAGTTGATGAGATGGACATGAAGATCTGCCAACAATGGTGCAGTGTCCTTCAAGTTTCCTGGAAAAAAAATTTTTTTTTCATAAAATGTTAAATACATTACACATTCATATTCAGAAAAATACAGGTGAACTCTCTCTCTCTCTCTCTCTCTCTCTCTCTCTCTCTCTCTCTCTCTCTCTAACAAATTTTCAATGAATGAACAGAACACTTTTATTTGCCACTTATTT